CGCGGCTCTTTCAACTGGGGCCAAAGTTCATGTGACAAAAAAATGACCATCTTAGGACTGTGGGGCAATGGCTCAGTCGGTACAGTGCCCTGCGAGCACGAAGAACCTAGCTCCATCCCTCGCCACTCATATACAGAGTAGTAACACACATGCAATCCCAGCGCAGGGGAGGCAGAGAGGGGAGGTGCCCTGGGACTCTGGCTGAATCTGTGAGCTCAGGTGCGGCGAGAGACAAGAAGACAGATGTTGACCTCACCCCCTTCACATGCACACACACAAACTCCCCCCAGTCTCTCTCTGACTATTTTAACGGCTGTGAAGTGAGCATCTTGGTTGGGCTCCCTGCCTTCAGTGTTCTAAATCGCCGCCTCTCTTTCCAGAACATTCCATCACCCCCATTTAAACCCTGTGCCCACCCGTTATCCATCTGCACCCTCTCCTCCTGGCTCTTGCCCAGCAAGAGTCCGTGTCCCCCTTCCAAGGAATCACACAGCTGGGCGCTTGACAGGTGGACAGGTGGACCAGGTGGCCTTGGTGCCGGGGACAATTGTCACTGTCCCACCCTGCACCAGTGAGGGTTGCAACAGCTGCTCTTTCGACTGTGAACAGGATTGTGCCTGTGGATTTCCCCTAGTGCATGCAGTCAGCCATCCACGGGGGACGTGGTTGTTTTCACCTTGGAGAGCTGTGAATAGCATTTGTGACTAGGATGGCATGTCACCATGGGAGCCACCTCCTAGGAGGTGGGAGGTGTTATTGTTCTGTCAGGGAAGGAGGCAGCATGACGCTTAAGGAGCAGCCTCTGTAAACCTGGGGCGGCGGCCACGGGGTCCTGGCCCCCGTCAGTTAGGATGGTGAAGCCACAGAGCTCCGGGTACCTCGCAAGTCCCCAGATCCTATTTGGTGTGCTCCTGGGGGTCGAGCATTCATATTCAGGCTGGTGTGGCTGCTGAGGACCGGAGGCAGGGAGGCTTAGGGAGCCCCTGAGGAGAGCAGACTCAGGTCCTGTGTCCAAGCCTCTCTCTCCTCACCAGGTCCGCTGCCGGCTCCCAGCTGTCCCCAGCCCTCTCTCTGGCTACTCTCCATCTTGTCTTGCCAGGGGTGACAGGTCTTGGTCCCTGGCCTGGAGTCCTATGTTCCCTGAAGGTGAAGACTCTAAAACTTGTCCTAGTAGATGAAGCCAGCACAGCCCACCACAGCCATTCCCACGGCCTCCACCTTCTCAGGATTCCTGGGGTCCAGAGCTATCACCATACCCTCTGCCACCATGCTGTCCCTTGTCTCAGGCTGCAGAGACTGGCATCGGGCAGCCCCTCCTGCCCACACCCCCTCCCCACCAGGGCGGTGGGGGGTGCTGGAAACATCTTTCCCATCACTCTTTTCTTCCCAGTGAAATGTGAGGCGCAGATTTCACCCGGCCTTCTAAAGCCTTATTACTTGATGTGTTGACATGGTAGTATTTTAGATCTTGTGGACTAAAATTATATCACTAAAATTAATTTCACCTGGACGTGGGTCAGTGGTTATTAGAAACTCCAGGAAGCGCAGTTTACAACTTATGCTCACCAGAAGTATAAGGCATGGTGACCACGCCTTTAATCCCAGCACTCGGGAGGCAGAGGCAGGTAGATCTCTGTGAGTTTGAGGCCAGCCTGGTCTATATCGTGAGTTCGATGAGAGCCAGAGCTATATTGGAGGACTCTGTTTCAAGCCAACAAATCAGGCTGAGGAGCTGGGGCTCTGGCTCTGGTAGAGCATTGTCCTATCATGCCCGAGGCCCTGAGTTCAATCCCCAACACAGGTGAGGATCAGAGCTCAGGGTTATCATTGGCTACATAAGTGAGTTGGAGGCTAGCCTGGGCCTCATGAGAGCCTGTCTCAAAAAGGGAGGGATAAAGGGAAGGAAAAATGTCCTTTATAAGATCACATGTGCCCGGACCACGGCACCGAGCCAAGGATGACTTATTAGTAATTTTGAGAGCGTCTGCTGTCCCATATGGACTGTGACATGTGCAGGGAAATGTTGTTATGGCTGATGCCTACGCACTGTACGGAGTGAAACTGGAAAACACAGGCAAGTCGGAGACAAGCCTCAAGTCCTAGTTGCTGTGTGCTCTGTCCCGTGTGATCACACACCTTCAATGTGAACTTCACGTCAAGCATCATCTCGGCTGGTTGGATTGTCCCCTTGGTGACATGCCGGGAACACTACATGCTGACTTTCACTCCTTCAAAATAGTTTTTCAAGGGCTGGAGATGTGGCTCAGTCCGTAGCGAGCATGGTGAGCATGCATGAAGCCCTGGGTTCAATCCCCCAGCAACACATAAGTCACATGTGGCGGCGTATGCTTGTAGTTCCAGCACTTGGGTGGTGGAGGCAGGAGGATTATCCTGCACAGAGCATTCAAGGCCAGCCTGGGATACATAAGACTCTGTCTCAAATACGTTTCCAAGGCTGTGTAGTATTCCGACTTAAGGATGTCCCAGGATGCTTGCGGTCTCCTGGGGGCTTGGCATTTTCTCCACAGGGTTATTAGCTTTTATTACGAGGCAGGCAAGCTTCCTGTGGCCAGCTCTGTACACTGCTCAGTCCTTGGGTTTGTTCTAGGGTTGCTGGTTGGAAGGGCGTGTACACCATCATCTGTTACAGATGTCGCACGAGACAGAATTAAGCCTGAGTTTTCCAGCAATTGTGGTGTAACCTAATTCTACACTTTCCAGTAGCCACACTGACGATATGGCTAAAGATGGAGCAGGACTTTCAGTTGTAGCATCTCGGGAGGCTGAGGCAGGAGGATTGCTTGGGCAAAGTTCAGGCTCAGCCTGGGGACCCCGCTCAGCAACCGACGGTCAAAGACTTGATAGATTTGATACAGAGAGACATTTTGAAAACAGTCCCAATTTGGAAACACTTCTGGTTCTTCCCGAGTGTTTCTGTGAGGGCTGCTGGGCCGCGAGGGCTGCTGGGCCTCAACAGGGATGCAGATGTGTATACATACACTTAGCATCTGGTGGATTCTTATTTTCAGGACCCATTCCTCCCCGGGGGTGTTACTGAAGGTGGTGGGTAAAGTTTTTTTTTGGTGAATCACAGGGCTCACTCAGAGAGCATTGTGCCCCTGGGCTGGGAGTGTAGCCCAGTGGGTAGAGTATTCACCTGAAGCACACAGAGCACTGGGTCCCGCCCCCAGCTCTTAATAACTTGGGTGTGGTGGCACACGCTTGTAATCCCTGTGCTCAGGAAGTGGAGGCAGGGGGAATCAGGAATTCAAGGTCATCTTTTGCTACATAGACCATTTAAGGCTAGCCTGGGCTACATGAGACCCTATCGGAAAAAAAAAAAAAAGTTCTTCACCCCATAAGCATGAAGCCCCACATCTTCCAAGGAGACCTCTGTGTCACTTTGTGCCCACATCAAGACACAGAATATTCTTTGTCCCCCAAGGCCCTGCTCACACTCCATTCACATTACTCTGCCCCCCCACCCCCCGCCCCCACCCCCAGGTAGCCACTGCCCTGATGGCTAACACTGCAGACGTGTGTTCCCTGAGTATGAGTTTTGCCCAGGTGAAATCGTGAAGCACATGCCTTTTCATGCCTGGCTTCTCTGGTTCCGTGTTAACATATGGTGCCCGGCTTCATTACTGTATACGGTTCCATCGGTTGGCTGCATCACACTTATGTACTTTGGCTGTCTGGGGTGGTTTCTAATTTATAATGCTTCGCACCGCCCGGCCACCAGGCCACAAGCACCCTGTGTTCGTCCTGTTACGTACATACTGGGCGTGGGCCCCTGGTCCGCTTGCTTGCTGCCTCGTCTCTGCTGTCCATGGCCGTGTCTTTCTCTAGGAAGGTAGCTCTCGTCCTGGAGATCAACCTTCCCCAGCATTTGTGATTGCATGTGCGGCCTGGGGAGGCAGCCCCTGCCTGCCGGGGCTGTGTGGGATGGATGAGCTAATCCCTGGAGTGGTGCCTGGCCCAGGCTGGCAGCCTTCCCTAGTCTTCCCTGGTGAGCGGCAGCTGCTGGGGATGCTTGAGAACTCTGTGGTGGATTCTTGAACAAACCGAGGCTCCAGCCTGAGGTGGAAGGTGGCGGGGAAGACTCCCGGACAGGGGGAGGGCCGTTAGGTCTCAGGGATTCACACCGTCTAGAATGAGAGGTGGCGTGGAGGTGGGGGCGGGGCGTGAGGTGATTGCAGGTGGGTAGGGCAGGTCCCCAACCCAGTCACTGCACGGGCAGGCTTGGCCTGAACTGGACATGGTCCTCAGGAGTGCTTGAAGGCCCAGAGCATCAAGCACCTGGGTATACCTAGGTGACGTCCCATGAGGGAAGGTGTGCTTTGGGTTGTATCCCAGAGTTCCCGGTTGCCAGTGCTGTGGTCTTCAGCCTTCTGAGTGGCAGCTGGCAATAGTCAAGCCAGAGATGACCGTAGGGACCCCCTTGGGTCACGCGCCACTCTCTGCCTCAGAGTTTGTATATTTGGGGGATTCCCTCTCCTTCCAGGCCCACCTTCTCCCTTCTGCTCTCCCTCCCTTCCTGGTCCTCTCCCTGCCGAGAGAAGCCCCATAGGCTATGGGAGAGGATGGCAGGGGTGGGGTGGGGTGGGCAAACAAGCAGGTCCAAGGTGCCCTTTCACAGGCGGTGGAGGACAAAGCGTCGGGGAGTGGCTGATGGTCCCTGGCCCGCCGCCGACGCCGTCAGGGGCTGTCATTCATAAATAGCCACCATCTTGCTGAGGGAGTAGCCGATGACCCCAGAGCTGCCCCAGCAGGCAGAAAGGGGGGCTCTCCTGTGTCCCTCGGTCATGGTTCGATGTGGTCAACGGGGATGTCTCGGTGTTATAAGAGGGATGGAGGGGCCAAGGAATACCACAGCCTCCGACCACCTCAAGTTCAATGTCAATGAGTCAATGATCTCTCCCTCTCTCTCTCCTTCTCTTTCTCTCCCTCTCTCCCTCTCTCCCTCTCTCCCTCTCCCCCTCTCCCCCCTCCCCTCTCAGTCTCCTCCGACCAGATCGAACAACTGCACCGGAGATTCAAGCAGCTGAGCGGGGACCAGCCCACCATCCGGTAAGACGCGCAGCCAGGCCGTTATCTCTTTCCCTGGGGTCCGTGGGGCTCTGGGCTGGCTGGCTCCGGGGACTCTCCCAATTTCTGCAGCAAACCTGTTGTGTGGATTCTCCTGGGTCTTTCTAAGTCATGCGGTGGAGAGGGAGGAAGGGGCCCTTTCTGTTTCCTAAAGGATCAGACGCCTGCAGGGGAAGCCAGCGAAGGGGAGGAACCCAGGGAAGCCAGTCAGCCACCCGGCCCTGCCCAGCCGCTTTATGCGGTGTGCCATCTGGACCAGTCCTGACGTTTTGCTCCCTCCCCTCACCCACCCACACACTGAGGGCCTGCTGGATCCTCCCTGGTGCTGGAGTGTGAGAGCCAGCTGATCCAGCTGTGTTCCCTGGGTGCTGGCCTCACCCTGGTGAGCCTGTCTCTAGACTTTATCTCCTCCTCTGTGTCGTTCCAGCCTTGGACAAGATGAGGTGGGTGGTGGCGTCTCCTTTCTGGTAGGGAAGTTGATGTTTTCCACTGTGGCTTCATTTATTTGTTTTTTGGTATTGGGGATGAACACCGCCTCGTACACGCCAGGCAGGCGCTTCACCCTGGTCTACAGCCCCAGTCCCCTGTTTTTCCTTTTGCCCCTCAGCTGCATCACCGCTAAATAGCCCAGGCTGGCCTTGGACTAACCCTATAGCCCAGGCTGGCCTTGGACTCACCCTATAGCCAAGGCTAGCCTTGGACTCACCCTATAGCCCAGGCTAGCCTTGGACTCACCCTATAGCCCAGGCTAGCCTTGGACTCACCCTATAGCCCAGGCTGGCCTTGGACTCACCCTATAGCCCAGGCTAGCCTTGGACTCACCCTATAGCCCAGGCTGGCCTTGGACTCACTCTATAGCCCAGGCTAGCCTTGGACTCACTTGATATCCTCCTGGCTGTTAAGAAGCTGGACTGACAGGTGGGAGCCACAGACCCTGAGAAGTGAAGAACCGTCTGTCACAAACTTTCTAGCAGATAGCAGTTTCCTAAAAATATGCATGGTGTCTCAAGGTGACCTCATTGGAACACTGATGCAAGCCTCGCACAGGTTCCAGGGAAGCGCCCTTCTTCATAGATGGACTTAATTTCGCCCTTCAAGGGGGGGGGGAGGGGCATGTGCACACGCATGTTTCCTTGCTTGCTACACAAAGGCACATAATTAACCCAGAGTGGCGCCCTGAAGGTTCCCATGGTCTCAGGGTTCTGTGGCCTCTGGTCTCAATGTAATTGGCCCCCAATTCTATCAAAGACAAGGTTGATCTGTGCAGAGCAGCCCAGAGGAAAAACCTGGGCACACCCCATGAAGTCACCTGGCTTTTCACCTGCTCTCATGGGCTCAGGCGCCTGAGTGCGAGCCAATTGCCGTGGCCAGGGGCCAGAAACAAACTGTTTTGCCTTGCCTAGAATTGAGGAGCAGGCTCTAGGGTCAGACCCAGCCTTACCTGGGAGACAGACCTCAAGCTCTTGGCTGTGTGGCTTTGGACCAGTCCTCTCTTTCTGAGCCAGCCTTCTGGGTAAAGCAGGCGGCTGCTTTGAGCTTGGATCTGAGCACTCGGCTCACAGATGTGCGCAGCTGGCTCCCAGACATTTGGCAAATGGGCCAGGTTATTGTGCCCCACCTGAGATGTAGATCAGAGCCTGCTGATCTGCTTGGAGGGTGTAGAAATCCTGAGTCCTGGGAGGGAGGGACCTCATGAAGGTCCCATCTGCGCAGAGGTGAGCTTGAGATCAAAGTGGGGGACGGTCCAACTGTACAGGGTGAGGGGATGTTGAGGGGACCCTCCATGCTGTAGGCAGGCAGAACCCTGGCTCTTAGCATAGTTAATAGTCACCTCCTCATTCCATGTGGGTGCTCTCCAAGAAGTTTATGGCGTCTAAGCCAACCTATCCCGTATCATGAGCAGTGTGACCAGTTGGGTTCCTTTGGGGCTGGAGTTGGGAGGGTAGCCTCTGGCTGGGTTATCGGGGAAGATACTCACCCCCAACTGGCTTGACATGCTTCCTGCATGTATGTGTACCTCAGCCCACATGCCACAGCAGACTGCAGCCGCACATCCACGTGGTGCCCCAAGGTGGGCCCTCACCCCTCCCAGCTGCTCCTTAGTCATAGTGAACGGGGCCTCCCCTTCTTCTGACCCCCTCCCGCCCCCACCCAGGGCTGCCCTGTGCTGTCTGTCTGTCATCTGTCTTGCTTCAGGTCCATCAGAAAGTGCACAATTCTCCCCAGTCTTCTGTCCTGTCCTCTTGTCCTTCGGTCCATCCCACTCAGCTGTCCACCCCCAGTGTCCCCTCCATCCAGCATTGCCTGGGAAGACATTTGCCCTGTGAGACAAGATCCCTGCCCTGAAGAGTGCCCACGAGGCCTCAGTTTCCCCAGTATGGGAAAACCGTGTGCTCTGTGAGCTCACTGTGAACTCTGCCCTGAGGCCTAGCAGAGTGACCTCGGCAGCTGAGCTGTGTGTGTGTGTGGGGGGGGGGGGCTCAGAAGCCACCGGAAACTAGCCCACGGCACTGGGTTTACAGAAGAGGCCAGCCCAGCCCTGGGTGATTTTCCTTGGTTGTGTGTGTCCTTTGTGGGCTGGATACATGTCCTATCCTCTTTGGGAGTCTGGGCAGGAATGGGGGCCCATAGCTCTAATTCTCTCCAAAGCCAAAAGGTCCAAGCTAGGGGGAGGGGAGTGTGCGCTCTGGGGCCGGAGTATTTCTGCTAGTGAGCTGTGTGGCTGCGGCTTACGGGCTTGGCCTCTCCGGACTCCGTGCTCTTGTCTATGAAAGTGGGCCCATCACCTTCACTACTTGTGGGTGTGAGGGTGACTGAGACTCCCAGTGAGTGGCCTGGCATGGGGAGGGCACTCCAGAATGTGGGGGAGGTGATGTAAAACACCCTGCCCTGGGGCTTCAAGCTGCCCTGGAGGAGGCATGGAAGGTGGTGTCTCTCGGGGCTTCCTGGGGTCCTTCCCCTTGCTGACCACTAGGGCGGCCATGCTGGACTGATGGCAGGTGGGTCAGCTCAGTCCCGAGGGCAGTGACCTGATAGCATCCAGGGCCTCAGGGTGGAGCGGAGCTTTTTTTCCACAAGCCCAGTGAGGGCCTGGCGGGCATGAGATGGTGGCCCCGAGGCCGCTCAGCTTGGCCTGGCCCAGCTCCATCCCCAAGACTTCTTGCCTTCTCTTTGTCAGAGTGGGGGGGGGGCGGCAGAAGTCAGGGGTTGCTGGGTACCAGCCAGCCAGACCTACTTCTTGTGAGTGACAGCTTCCAGACCAAGGCCAAGACATCACACCTGGGCAGTAGTCACCGTCCCTGCTCCCCTCTCTCCTCCCTTCCTCTCCCTCCTTTTTGGGGGCCTCCAGCAAGTGCTCTATACTGAGCTACATGCCCCCCACCCCGGCCCTTTTTCTGCTTTTTAGACAGGGGCTTGCTAAGCTGTTGTAGGCTGGCCTCAAACTCACAATCCTCCTGCCTCAGCTTCCCGAGTGCCTGGGGTAACAGGTGCGACCACTCCTGGCTAGGACGCAGTTTCTATCCGTCTCTGCCTTGTCTGTCTCTAAAATGGGTTAAGCCCCTGCCCTCCATGGTATTGTCATGGGGGTGGGACGTCCCTCCTTGGGAAGGCTGGTGTCACTAATGTCTCTGTCCACCGCTGCAATGCCATGGTCCACGGCCGCCGCGGCATCTCTGTTCCCACTGTGTTCATGTGCGACACCCCCCGTCCCAGGGTCTTCCATATTCTCACGATCCCCATCTTAACAACCGGGACATCTGAGGCTGGGGTGGGGGGGGCATCCTCTCTCCCAAGACCATGTGCTGCAGAGGGCAGAGCCTGGGTCGGCAGCCACAACCTCTGTACTTTATCCTGTTGGTCCAGAGGGAAGGATTAGGTCTGCACCCATCTCACAGATGCGGAGACTGACCTTCACAGAAGCAGGTGCCTGAAGTGAGGGGCGGGTGGGGTAGGAGTGTGAGTCTGGCAGGCACCTGTAGAGACGGAGAGCGAGGAGAGTGAGTGGGCAGGGCAGTGCCAGGGGTATGAGTGTACCTGGGTTCCAGTGTGACTCCCCACAGCTGGGTGAGCCTGGGCAGGGGACTGGCTCTCTCTGTGTCCCACCTGTTACTCCAGGGAATCACAGAAGCCCCTGTCGGGTACCCTGAGGTACATGCTGCAGGCCTTACAGCTCACACAGCCACTGACTGTCATCTGAGCGGTGACCAGCAAGTGTGTGTGTGGGGGGGCCGCTCTGATGATCTGATCGTCTCCGTGGTAACCTTGACTCCTTCTGTCCAGGGTTCTGGTTTCTCTTGCTTCCTCCTGGGGTTGTTGGAAACTAGCAACTGCATGGGGGCGGGGACAGAGCCCTCGTGTGTCTGGCCCTGAGGCTCCCTGTGTCTTCTCTCTGGGTTGCCCGTTGCAAGGGCAGTTAGCCGGTATCCGGTGTGGAAATTCCCTCTGTGGAAACGAAGGGTGCTGTAGTTCTTACTGTTCTAGTGAAACCAGGGGAAAGTTTTTTGGTAGTTTGGAGGAAGAACTCATTCCCATGTATGATCCAGCCAATTAAGCTGCTCGGTCCCTTTAAGCATCCCAGAAAGACACCCGCCCCCGTCACCCTGGAAACCAGACTCTGCTGGCTTCCATCCTGAGCGTGATGTTCTTGAGGTTTCAGTGGCAGCTTGTGTCCTTGCTACATTCCCTTGTTTGGTTTAGGTTCTCAGCAGACAGAGTCTGTGCATCCCAGGCAGGCCTTGAACTTGTGGCCTTCCTGCCTCAGCTTCCTCGGCGCTAGGATCCCAGGCACTCACACACCATCACGCTGCTGCTTCTCAAGTACCCAGGACTGCAGATTGGACCATGGGGACCCACTTAACTCATTATTGTGTGTTCACACGACTTTGTGGAGTTGGTTCTCTCCTGCCACATTTACGTGGGTTCTGGGAATTGAACTCCGGTCTCCAGACATGCACACAGGTGCTTTTACCATTCAGCCATCTCATCTCATCAGCCCCCTAGTTCCTTTCATACCCATCCTGCCCCAAATCTAATTTTTGGTCATATAGTGGCACCCATCACTCCGGGACAACTGTCCGGAGTGTGTCTTTCTTCCAAACTGGGCCCTGGTGAATGGAAAAGGTGGCTGCACCCATTCACCAGCTCCTGTTTGGCTAGAGGGCACCGGGCCAGCCATGAGGGAGGGGCAGGAAGCCACCCAGGGGTGGTAAGAACAGGAGAGATCCGGTCACCTGGTTCTGCTTGTGTCTGGAGCCCGAGGCGCCCCTCTCCTGTGAGGTGAAGCCAGGATGGGACAAGGGACCGTTTGTGGGACCTTCCAACTCAAACAGCCTCACCTCCCAGCCCCAGTCTACTCCAGGGTCACGTCCCCCACTAATGTCCTCAGGGGTGTGAGTGTGTGTGTGTGTGTGTGTGTGTTTTGTTTTTTAATCAGCTGACTCCTCCCCATCCTGGACATTCTTTCTTGTCCCCTGAATTACTGGGCCGTGCCCCAGGTCCCTTGGAAGGCCACTGCCATGGAGCAGGCGCAGGCAACCTGGATGGAGGCTGGGCCCCTCCTGTGAGGACAGGCAGCTGGGACATGCGCCTGCACCCTGCCCAGGCCCATAGCTGCTGGTGGGTTTTTTGTCTTTCCTGACATGAAACCCACACACCCTACAGCTCAGTCGTTAAAATGCATGGCAGTGTCAGCGGAGTTAAATATCCAGAATTCTTGTCACCAAGAGATGCCTGTCCCCTTAGGGGTCTTCTGGCTCCCCCAGCCCTGGGTCACCCCTCTCCTGTGAGTCTCAGTGGCTTGGCCTGTTCTAGACACGTCACTTAAACGGAATCATGGCCTTTCAGTGCCAATGTCTTTCCAGCAATGTCAATCTTAGGGTTCGTCCTCCTGTAGTGGGTATCAGTGTTCCAGTTCTTTTCCTGGCTGTGTAATATTCCCCCGTGTGGATGGCCTGCAGTTCAGCTATCACTGATCTGGTCGCAGGCATTTGGTTAGCCCTTCTGTTTTTTTTTTTTTAAGATTTTATTTATTTATTATGCATACAGTGTTCTGCCTGCATGTATCCCTGCAGGCCAGGAGAGGGCACCAGATCTCATTACAGATGGTTGTGAGCCAGCCACCATGTGGTTGCTGGGAACTGAACTCAGGACCTCTGAAGGAGCAGTCAGTGCTCTTAACCTCTGAGCCATCTCTCCAGCCCCGCTTCTATGGTTCTTACGCGGTTCCTGTGGAGACTGCCTGTGTGTCCTTGCTTCTCTTGGGCATGAGCTAGGGGGTGCCAGGTCATGAGATGCTCTGAAAGTCCATTTCCTTGAGGCCTTTAGGCCAGTATCCTGCCGCTGGGAGCCCAGGTAAGCGCACCCACATGGACAGATCTTGTCGCTGCAGCCTGAGTGTGAGGGTCCCACCCACCTCTCCGGTTCTTCCATGTGACAGGCCCCCTCCGCCCCCCCACCCTCACCCCATCTGTAGGCAAGAGGCCTGGGGAGAGAGGGTGGGACTGTTGGGGATAAAGAGACACCACCCTGCCTGTGTCCCATGCCACTGACGACCACCCTCTTGTGACTCTCTCTCCTGTGTGTCCTGGAATTCAGCAAGGAGAACTTCAACAATGTCCCTGACCTGGAGCTCAACCCGATCCGATCCAAAATTGTTCGTGCCTTCTTCGATAACAGGTGCGCTCCCTCCCCTGGGCAGGCTGAGGTGCGCCACCTCTTCCATTATGAGACAGAGAGTGGGGAGGGGGAGGGTGTCCTGGGTTGCAAGGAGTCTTTCTCTGTCCCACCAGCCAGCTCCCAAATAACGACACGGAGACTTCGTATTAATTTTGAAAGGCTGGCCTGTAGCTTAGGCTTGTCTCACCAGCTCTTATAACTCACATCAACCCATTTATTTTAATCTACATTTTGTCATGTGGCTTATTACCTCATCTCTCCATACCACCCACGCTGCTTCCTCTGTGTCCCCCACGCACCTAGATCTCTCCACCTCCTCTTCCTCTCCCTCCCTGGAAATCCCGCCTATACCTCCTGCCTAGCTATTGGCCGGTCAGCCCTCTATTACACCAATCACAGCAGTACACCTTCAGTGTACAGTGTACACAGATATCCCACCACATGGGGTGGCTTTGGACAGCTCCCCCGGCTCCCTCCACTTCTGCCTTGCTCATTGTTGGCCGCGAGACAAATGCCTCCAAAGTTAGCAGGTACTTTGGGTTCTGTCTCTTTACGTTTGTCTGTCTGTGTGCACATGTTCATGGAGGCAGGTGTGTGTGTGTGTGTGTGTGTGT